AAAAAAAGAAGGTTATGAAACAGCCCTGATTGTTCATGCACGTGTACAGCTGTGAAATGTTTTATGTTTTTGCTCGTTTGTTTCCCTTCTATCTTTTCACCTTTCTGATATTTTCACAAACTATAAGATGTAAAAGGTGCTTCCCTAAAAAGAAAAAAATGTTTGCTCTACAAAATATACAGGACACTAGGTGGAGCACTTTGTCTGTTTGCCATAAGCTGCTTGACATGATGAAACTAAAGGCACAGCCCGCTTTAAAAAGCAGACGAGTGTTTCCCCTCTCGGTTTAATCTTTGTCCTTTCCTCCTAGCTTTTTCATCTTGTAAGCAAAGTTGATGTGATCCTAAGGAATACTGGCCACGTGGGCTTTAAATACAGTATACAGCCTGAAAGAGAGAAAGGGGGACGATACTGATGAGGAGGAAGTGGGGCAGACGACAGACTTTGAACATGAGGTTAGACCTGGTTGGCCCAAGGTCGTTCGTGAGTGACAGGGTTATGTTGAAGCCAGTATGGTGCAGTTACTATGGGTGCTCTACTTCCCAGGCACCCCGGAGGTTTTTAAGAAGAAGCTTCAGGTGCAGGTGGCTTTCCCACTACCGCAGGAGATCACACTGACTGGAGTGGCAGTGTTTCCCAGGCTCAGCTTGAATTTGCACAGTCATTCATACAGTACACACATTTTACATGTAAATACATATTACACCAGTTTGCAGCCATGTTACTGGACCTCATAAGGATGTTGCCAGTAAACTGAATCATCCTTAGAAATATCTGTTTCCTTGGTCTTCTTTCTAACTCAATTATACTGAAAAGCAGCTGATTTATAGTCCTCCCTTATAAGCACTGACACAAATTCAACTCTTTATTGCTGCACTCGTGTAACACTGTGATTTCCCTTGCAGAGGAGCGTTACAGTGATGTGTTACAGCAGGCCAGAACTGCTGTGGAGGCAGACAGAGTCAAAGAGGAGCTCATGAATGAAATTAGTGTTGGAAAAGGAGCAGTGGAGGAAACCTGCATACTCACAGTCAATAAATTCATTCTAGGAACAGCTCACAATATGCAGATCACAAAAAACAAAAAGAAACATCCTGTAATAGTAAGCATGTTGTTTTGGTATTATCACGCAGAGAACGAACAAAGGTTTATTTGTAATGAAAACCACCAACAAAAATCAATTTTTCCAGC